AATCTGATGAATCTGACGTTTTTTTTTATTATAATGTTTTATGATATATGTAAGTAAAAATCTGTCTATTTATCACAGTGCACTGATTTGAAAGTGGCAATTCAACTGAATCAGTTTTGGAACAATAGAATCGATCAGTGGTGGGCACAGACTCTGGAGAGAGCGGTCCTGAGGTTTTTGGGAAGGGCATTTTGTGTGTGTGGGGGGGGCACTTCTGGAACAGTTCATACTAGGATTTCTTTAGTATAAGAAAATTCCATTATAGAAAAAAAAAATTCTAATATTGAGGTATTCTGTATGCAACTCTAATGTTAATTATGTAATGTGTACTGTGTAACATTATTATTATTATGTGTTGAAGGGGAATTCCACCAATTCTTCAGAATTTCTTCATTGAGATGTGAAGAAAGTCATTTACGGTGTTTGATTCCCCACTGTTTACAGAAACTTTTGGGCTAAAACCTTATCTCAAAACTGTCATTAAAATGACATGAAGGTTCGTCAGTTTTCCGCTACACTCAAAGCATGTTGTCTTGATATTAGTTTAAAACTACATTGCTTCTCTAATGTAGATGTTTTGTTATGACCTGTATTTATCCATACATAACAAATTAGAGCGACAGACCTCGGAGTCACTCTCGCTGTGAAGTTTAAGCTAACATTACTGAGCTTTTTGAAGTTGGACAGATCTAGTCTAAATGAAAGCAGCACACAAAAATAATCAGAAAGAAACGAAGCAGCACTGTGTGATAAAACTGGGGATTTAAAGTCCTTTTTAAAACTACATATGGCATATTAAAATGATATTTATGATGATTGAATGATGATTATGCCTGGTAATTTTTAGAGAAAAAAAAACGTAAAGTATGTGTAAATGTTGTGGCCAAAATAAAATTCTCTGGCTATTTACAAATGGAATAATCCCAAAAATACATGCCTTGTTGTTTTGTGTATTATTATTTTACTTCTCTATAAATTCCGATCTTCCAGTCACATTTGCATATTCAGTCTGAGGGCTCATATTAGATATGTAAATGATAAACGGTTGGTATAGCATATTAGGTAGCACTGCTGCTCACCTCATGGCAGACTGAGGTTCAGTTCCCTGCTCAGTTAAGCACATCATGCTATACCAATGAGTTCCTGGGCAAGACTACTAACTCTACATTCGCATACATCATTAACATGTTTTAAACTCTAAGTTGCTCTGAATAAGAGAATCTATCAGATGTGAATGTGATTTAACCAATAAGCAGTTGTTCAACCAATGGTTAAAAAAAGAGAATTTTATTTAATTTCTAATAAACAATAGTTCCTATTTGAATAGGTGGGTTTTGGAATTTTGACACATGATTTGTTCTTTCTTTGAATAATTTTACCTCCTTGAAGGGCTAAAACATAAAAGGGAGTATATGTGAATAAGTTCTTGCTAATAGGATATTTTCCTTTTTTTATATATGGGTTTTTGTTCTGTGTATAACTTTCTCTCAGGGGTTAGAGGACAGATTCCTTTCATATTTTCAGTGAAAGATGAAGCTGCTGAAGAATACAGATCTTTTTTTCCCCCTAACTTCTGCCAATAATCCTGGAGGATTCTTTGTGAAATTATGAAATACCAGATTTTAAGTTGATTTGTATATTTTACTGAATTGTACTAATTAACAGGCAGAAGTCAGTTAGTTACACTGATAGGCCTACTAAAAATTGAAGCACGCAGCTAAAAATAGTGGTGTTAGGACCACATTTTGAGAGCACAGTAGTACAACTGCACAATGGACCATACCAAAAGCATCAGCAAGTTATAAGATTTGTTTTTGTTCTCAGAAGAAGCGGTATCAGAAAGTCACACATCGGAGTGCAAATTATAGAAAAAGATGTGGTAAAAGGAGATGGCTTTCAGCTCTTGAAAGCTGTATTCAGCTCTTGTGTCACCATTTTATGGTTTTATGTACCATGCTCATTCATATTTTGTTATTTTTCCATGAATTTTTTATTCATTAGAATGAAGTGGACTATTTTTGTTACTGTAACTGTAAGAATGATATTTGCCACTCTTTTTAACATCATTATGAATGAGTGGGGCTGTAGGCTGAACAGGTGGATATATGTAAATGCACTGGTTTTCATGACATCATAAAAACAGTGTAGAAACAATGTTTGCAAGTTTTGTTTTTTTGTTGAGTGCTGTTACCTCACACCAAGAAGGGCCTGGGTCCAGTTCACTGGCTGGGCAACCAGGGTCCTTTCTGTGTGGAGTTTGCATGTTCTCCCTGGGTCTGTGTGGGTTTCCTCTTGGTGCTTCAGTTTCCTCCCACAGTCTAAAGACATGCAGTCAGGCCAATTGGACATGTTGAATTGCCCCTAGGTGTAAAAGTGTGTGTGAGGGTATATGTCTGTGTATCTGTCCTGTGATGGACTGGTGACCTGTCCAGGGTTTCCTGGGTTCCGCCCACTGACCACTGGGATAGGCCCCAGCACCCTCTGTTACCCAGGAGGATAAGTGGTTTAGAAAATGTGTGTGTTATATGGGCCCTTTAAAATGATCATATGACAAAATACAAATCAATTTGTGGTGGATTCTGGTGTTTCATCACTGAATCATTTAAAAAAGAATCCTCCAGCATTATTGGCACCCTTAGTAAAAGTTAGGAAAAAAAAAGATCTGTATTCTTCAGCAGCTTCATCTTTCACTGAAAATATGAAAGGAATCTGTCCTCTAACCCCTGAGAGAAAGTTATACACAGAACAAAAAAATCCATATATTTAAAAGAAGAAAAATCCTATAAGCAATAACTTATTTACATATACTTCCCTTCATATTTTAGCCTTTCAAGGATGCAAAAGTATTCAAAGAAAGAACATATTGTGTCAAAATTCTTAGGAGCACAATTTTGACCTGTATTCCCATTCGTATTTTTATTTTTTTCATACTTTCCTTTTAACATGTTACTGTCTTTTCAAAGTCCTCTTAGTGTTTTCCTTTGGAGTTTTGGATCAGGGTTGTGACGGGGTTAACAGCAACATGGCGTGTCGCAGGCCCTGTGAATACAAACACGAGCTGAGGCTGGAGGCTAGTACATGCTTTCATTTCTCCTTCTGATCTGAGGCACTGACTCGTGTCTGGAGGCGGAATCACCACAGGGCAGGCAGCACTTCTGAGAAGCCGTGGACAAACAGAAGCCCCTGATGTTAGTGTAGCACAGAGGAGACTGTCCATTGTACAGTGAGAAAGAGTGAACCCCACTGTTTTCTGGATGATGTGCAAACCCCCTCGTCACTTTGATAGGTCAGGAATTGGATAGGCAGAAAGCATCACTGACCCAGAAGAATCACTTTGAAAGCTCTCTGTACCATCTAACGATGACTGGTGTGTGATTAAGTGTTTTGATGATGCACTCTAGACGGTTTGTGAGGAATTGACTTTGAGGAAGTGAAACAAAAGGCTATGGGTAAACTAAGGTTAGGCCTGACCGATATGATTGTTCTGTGGCTGATACCAATACCGATACTAAAGGGCTCAAAATTCTTATAATCAATGATATTGATTGATATCATTTTATTCTTAGAATTTGGCTGTTAACTTTCTATACCAGTAATGTTCTGATAGCCGTGATTGTCAGTTCTCAATAGTCACACTCTTAAGCTTGAATAAACAACAGAAACATATCAGTTTCTGTTAATTTAATTAATTTTCTTCTCTACATTTTTCATTCATTCTCTTCATAAAATGTTATAATGTTATTTTCATGTTAAAGGTTAGGGTTGGACACTTATTACATACGTATTCAAACATTGGGCACTTTTGGTCAAATTACATATTGTTAATTTTTTTTAAGTGAGAATAAATTAACAGATTCTCTGCAGAGAACATACTTCTGCAGATCTTAATGCACAATTACTGTTTATTTGCTGAATTTAACATGGAAAAAAACAATCATATAATGCGGTCTCTGCCAAAAATATGACACATTTTGTATTTTATAATTTATTTTTAAACTCAGATAAATCGAAAATGTGCACTAAAATTGGTGACACTTTATTTTGAGTGGTCCTTTTTAAATGAAACAGACACTCAACAGACTCTCACATGTCAAAAACATATGAGGGTTAGGATTAAGTTTTGGATTCAAATTAAGGTTAATGTTAGGATTAGGGCCAGGGTTAGGATTAGGGTTAGGTTTTGGGATGGGTTAGGGTTAGGTGTTGGGTTGAGGTTAAGGTTAAGGTTAGGTTTTGGGTGAGGTTGATAAGGTTAGGTATTGCATGATGGAAGCATGGAAGCAACATATTAACAATACATCTACTTAATGTAAGTAATGTATCAACAGTACCTCTGCAAGATATTTACTTCAGTGTATTCAGATGCTTCACTACCGCTACCTTACTGATATGTTGTTGATGTGTTACTGATAACAGTTTATTAATCGTCTACAAAGGACCACTCCAAATAAAGAGTTACCCTAAACCTTTCAGAACATTGCCATATTTAAGATTGTGAATTAATTTTCACTTAGTTCCCTTGAACTATAATGCCATTTTAATGCTATATAATGCCATTAGTTTATTTTATTAAATGATCACACCAATTGTTTATTTTTTCCTTTTTGAAGAGGTTATTTTTTGCAGGCATTGTGCTGATGTTTTGCTGTCCATCCCAACTTGTCCTCAGAAAAACTAAATATTTTGATGTGTGACATGTATCATGAAAAAGGTATCAAATATTGTGATATTATCGCTTTTTGTCACATTGCCCCACCCCTTATATACACTGACTCACTCAGACTCTTTTGCATCATCAGCCTTTTACATGTAAGTATTTTGTATTCAGCTCATCAGTTGATGATGTTCAAAAGAGGTCTCCTGCGTTCTGCCTGATTTCCTCCATCACACAAACATGCTCTTGGATTCACACTGGATTGCGCTGCTTCTCCCCTCCTGTCATGTCAGTCTCGCGGCTCTGAGTTAATCAGTGTGTCTGCATGTGTGTTTTTCTCCCGCAGTGCTGTGATTGAAGAGGCCATCCCGCTGTTCCACACATACTCCTCCTGATCTCTCGCACGCTTCCCGGGATCACCATGCTGCCTCTCTTGTTGGCTTCGCTGCTGGCCGTCCACTCTCTCGGTGGGTGGCATGTCCTCTTCCCTCCTCTCTCATTATCTAAAGACCACAACCCCTGTCAGCCTAAACACCCCCAGCAGCTAATCCTTCACCCACAAGTATCCTCGTCTGCTTCTGAACAGGCTGTTTGCTAAGACATTTATTGAAAAATGTCCCCCTTATATTCCTTATCAAGTAACAAAATCATTTGTAACATTTCATGACGAACGTGAATTAAAAGAACTAGTAAATAGATACATTAACTGATGTGAGTTACAGCATTGCTAAAGTTTCATGTGTTTGTCTGCCTGTCTTTCAGAATAGTAACTTTAAACAAAGTCCTTCAGAGTGGTTTGATGTAAAATAGTTCATTAAAGAGACTTACCGACTCTTCTTTACAGTGGTGGTGATAGGAACCAGGGGTCACAATGTCTACAACACAAATATAGCCATTTTATTTACTATCCAAAACCACCAGTTAACCAATATGAGCCTTCTGAGTTTTATATGTAATGTTGATGATGGTAAAATAGTGGTAAACCTGACAAAGTTTTATTTGGGGACTATTTTGCCTTACCTGCATGTACATCTCTGCCATGAACAGATTTAAAAAAATATTAGGCCAAAACCTTCTCAAAGCAATCGCAAACCAATGTCTCAGGCATCAGGCAGCATATTCATAACCATTTCTTATAATATGTCTCTGTGTTGGCCCTTTAGAGGTGGACATCAGCCTCCACCACTGTGAACAACTCTGACTTTGTGAGAATGGAGTATTTCACATCAAACCACTCTGAATAACTTTGTTTACATCTTGTTAGAAATTCGGCAGGAAGAGTCAGGAGACTGGAGCTTCGGCGTTGACTGGTGTTTATTTCCACATACAGAGTATGGGTACAGCGTGGTCGATCAACAGTCAATCAGCAGGATCAGGAGTCTAGTCTTATTCACGTGCATGTAGACAATCATGCATGGGCACAGCTTGGTCATCCGTGTGTCACCAGTCTAGTCTGGTCACCAGTCCATTCTAGTCTAGCCTGGTCAGCAGTCCAGTCTCCAGTTCAGTCTGATGGATACATGGTCTGACATAGTTTAAGTAGAGATACTGGGGGTCGGGGGAGGAAGCAAAGAGGGAGGGGAACTAGGTGACAGTCAAAAGGTTGGGGAAGAAGGGGAAGGGGGTCTGGGGTCAGGGGAGACCCCAGGGGTAAGGAGAAGTTGTTCTGACCTCAGGGGGAACAATACAGATAAAACACCAAAAGGCACACAACTGTAAGACAATACGGCTGACACAACAAAAACACAACATAGCTTAGAGCATAGAAGAAAGCAAATGTGAAAAGACCTATACTTTCTCAATCTTAACCATTGAATTATGGAGAAATTGTGAAAAATTAGTGGAATTCCCCTTTAAGTCATTTAGCTGCCCAAAGCAACACGTTCTTGTTCTCATATGAAAGACTCTTTTTGCTTTTTATTTTGTTTTGTTTTTTTTGTGAATGCTATCTGCCCTTTACACTGTATGAACACTTTGTGACCAACAGAAATGGTCTGCAATCGCAGCAAAAATAATGTCTTCAATCTAGCCTAAATATTACTCATTTTGCGAGTGATAAACTTTTCACCAGTATAAAGTTGCATAAAACATGTAAAAATGTCTAGAAATAAGATAAAGTTAAATAATAATAATTTAAAGTTCAATCATTTTATATTGTTTCAACGGTCTCAAAAATTAGAAATATTTAGACTAGATTAGACTAAAGATTCCACTTGGCAAGATATCATTTTTGCAGTGAATAAAATATGGTTCTGTTAATGTGCATTACCATTTAGACCTATGAAGTTACCATTTCAGTAATACAAGCAACAATATGTTGTTGACCAAAGCATGTTATGCAAAGCAGCATCCACATTAGCATAAGGAAAAATGGTTTTGTGCACCACAGTCATGACATAGACACACCACTGTTAACCTCAATTAATCAACCAACCAAACTCTCAGCAGAGAGCATCCTCTGGTCTCCTAATAGTTCTACATTAACCAAAGCATACCATATCAACTCTGCAGGAGGAGTGATTCATTACTTTTAGTGCACTTTGTCATTTTTTGATGCATAATTCATGCAAACAAATAAGAACTAATACAAAAACCTTTCAGGTAATCATAGTAGGCATTAAAATGTTCAATGTGATAGAAAAGAAACCAAAAATAACACTCAAAGTATTTCTTTCCCCTCTCTACAATGGACACAAACAACTGGTGCACACTGAACATGTCCCAACTTGCTCTGGCCTTATTTGAAGACAGCTAAAACACAGATTAGGACCATCCTTGGTCTCTTGAAGTCTTACTCAACACAACAGCTCAGTAGGAGGCAGTGATGCACCTTACATTGGCCTGCCAACTACCATTCATAAAAGAAAATAATAAGGAGAAGTTTGGGTCCTTTCTCCAACCAGAAAGTTGCAGTGAAATGATGGAAGGGCGTGTGCCTGGGGGTCCAAGCCACTAGGGGAAACCAGCAAACAATTATGAGAAAACCTAAACAGCTGTTTTGACTCATAGTGGGAACTTTTAGCGGCATAGCAAATGGAAAAAGTATCCCTGTCGTTGTGTTTCGGCCAAACACAGTCCAGATGTTTTCTACATCTTTCCTCAACGTAATGTTCTGGTCAATCACTGCTTAGAAACCATTTAACTATGCACCACTGCTTCGGTCAAGCTTTCAGCATTTTTAGCAGTGAGCTGTGATACTTTGACAGAGTAGAGGACACCCAAACTAACTAAATGTAAAATGTAAGCCACTTAAGTTAAATTTGCATCATCCTTGTTGGTAGTGATCTGCAAACTGGTGCATAAACTCATCAGAGGTAAGATACTAATATATACATATATATATAGGCCCCGAACACCCTGCCAATACACCCGTTAGGATGAAGCAATCTGAACCAAAAAAATACGCTACATACCTTGATGTATGTGTAATTAATTGCATTACATGCGATGCTGGAAGTGATCTCCATTTTCTGACAAACACATGAAGGGGTACAGGGATATGCACCTGGAGGTGGAGGTTAAACGTCGTAATGGCTGTCCAATGCCTATTTAATCATGCCGACGCAGGGGCATCCTGACTTGTTCAAAGCTCCATATACTGAAGAGCACATTGCAGATTGTTTCATTCAGATTGTTTCGTCCTAGCGAGAGCTACCACACAACACTTGGGGCCTCCTTCGAGTGTTATATATATATACACACACACACATAATGCTATAAACACAATATATACGTATACAATATATATATATGTTACATACTGTGAGTCAGCAGTTGTGTGTTGTATTCTATACACAGTGAACAATCTGTTGTATGGAAATACAAGGGATAGTAAATAATAAATAAATATTGTGTGCAACATACAAGTAGGAGTATTAGAGTGGTGTGGCATTAGGGTGATGGTGGATGGAAAGAAGCTGGACCTGAGCTGACTGGTTTTGGTCTGAATGCTTCTGTATCTGAGGCTAACCAGTGTGTGGCTGGGGTGGGAGAAGTCCTCGATGAAGTTTCAGACTGAATCAGACTGAATCAGGACTTCTCCTACAGCTGAGTTACTGAACCGTGTGGTAGTAGACCGACCATCAATACTATAATATAGTGCAAAATATTGCAGTTTATTGGGACCGTTGGGACACCTCAGATACATTGCTTGTCATGTTTTTCTGTTTCCCCTATATTTCATCATGAAGAATCTCCTGTAAATGAAATATACATGAATTTTCCATCAGAACCTCTAAGTCTCTTTATGTGTTTTATATTGAACTCCAGGTTCACATAAAACCACACCGAATCTTTCTGTCTCTTTTTCCGCTGGAGTCAGGAGAAGGTCAGGGATTTAATAAGAGCAGTGTGAATGTGCGATTGTAAAGCAGACAGATGGACTGTAAAACACACGGGATTGATCAGCAGAGGGAGACAGCAAGCAGAATGGAAGAGAGACAGGTTTTTCCCTCCTGACTCAGCGCCTGAGGTGGCAGTTTCCTGTCGGTGGGTGTGTTTGGGGTTATGATTGTGCTCTGCACTGGGTGTGGAGTCTGGACTTCAGGCCGCAGCTCTGCTTTCATCATGCAGGCTTTCAGAGAGCAGTTTCCACTGTGAATTGTGCTGAAGATAGTCAGTGTTTTAAAGGCTGAGAAAACAATTTATTATTGTGTTTATCATACGTAATTGTTTTCTGTACACATGTCTGGATGCCCCTGGTCAAATGACATGTTTTGTTGATTTTCTAAGTGAAAAGTTAAATTATCCTCTACAGAAAGCACACCTCTTTTAATGCACAATTACTATATGCTGAATTTAACATATTGGGAGGAGAAAAAATAAACCATAAAATGTGGCCTGTACAAAAGTTAATGAAGCTTTTGTATTTTATGTTTCATTTTTTTCTTCAATATGTCAAACACAGCAAATAGATAAACATTGTGAACTAAAATCTGCAGAAAATGCCATATTTAAGTTTAATGTAGAAGATATTTTAACTTTTCACTTATTTTTGTTTTCAGCTTTTGCATGTGCCTAAATGTACATCATATGTATTGCATCATAACATATAGGTGTGGACAATATGATGATAATTATGATCATAATTATCAACAATGTGTAACATACACCATATGAACAAACGTTTTGGGGGGTTGGTGGTGTAAAGCACACTGCCACACTGCCACACTGCCCTTTGGGATGAACTAGAATGGAGATTGTGAGCCAGGCCCTCTCACCCAACATCAGTGTCTGACCTCACAAATGCTCTTCTGGATAAATGGGCAAAAATTCCCACAGACACTCCAAAATCCTGTAGAAAGCTTCCCAGAAGAGGGGAAACTGTTACAGTTGCAAAGAGGGACCAACTCCATATTAATGCCTATGGATTTAGAATTGGATGTCATAAAAGCTCCTGTCGGAGCAAAGCTGAGGTGTCCCTATACTTTTGTCCATATAGTGTATCTCATTGTATCATGTCAGAAAC